TTGGATGAGTGAATGTTGCTAAAGGAGTCTATGACAACATTTTTTAAATAAACGTTGCAAAAAGTGACTTCGCAACATTTATTAAATGATGCGAAATGTCTCACACATTTTTTAAACCTTGCGAAAAGAGTAGTCTATTATTTAGAAGTCCATTATTTAGCCCAAAACTAATTCCTTCACAGTAGAAATCCCTAATTCTAATGGGTAGAATTTCCTCCGCAGTAGAAATCCCCGAAGATCGTTGCCGACATAGCCTTCCAGAAAATGGCCGCTACTCTACTGAACCCCATAATTACCACCGTCTTAGCCCTAGCATAAGCCGGAGCCGGAGTCCAAGCTACAGTCGAAGCCCGCCAACCAGGTACAGTCGTTCATCTCTTGATTATTTGTCGTACTCTAGACGTAGCCCAAGGCCGGTGAAACCATCAATTCCAATGGAAGAAATAGAAACACGTATGATGATGGAAAGAACCTCAAATCTAATGGAAGAAATAGAAACAGGTATGATGATAGAAAGAAACAGTTCCTCGATCGAGATTATAGAAGCGGACGACATGGAGAGTCTGAATCGGATGAAGAATTGAAAAGTTTGGGATTCGAAGAGTACAGGAGGCTTAAGCGCCAAAAATTGAGAAAATTGCTTAGGAACTGTATTTGGAATAGTACTCCCAGCCCTCCTAGGGATCCAGAAGAATCATCAGATTTGGAACCTGAGGATGAAATTACCAGGAAAGTTGAAGAAGAAAAAGAGAACATAGAGGATAATAAATTAAAGTCTGGTTATAAAAGAGTGAGCAGCAATTCGTCTGAGAGTGAATCTGCAAGTGGTAACCTGTTTTTGGTCCAAAGATATGTTGAATGGGGAGGGTCTGTCTTCTTCAAATGCCGGTATGTGTGGGTTGGGTTTTTACACATATAAGTCTATATAATCTATAAAAGAAATTACTTACACGTTTCTCATATATACACGGATGCTGACAGAATGTTCTAAATTCTTAAAGAAAGTCCTTCAGCTTTGATATGTTTTCAACTTTATACTGAAATTATGATTTAATCTTGATTTTCTTGAATTTGATTGTTGGGACTCTGAATTCTTGTGGTTATTTGTAAGAGTGATGGACTTTTTTTGGTCCAGAGATGTGTCAAATGGGAAGAGTCTTATCTTCTTCAAATATTGCAGTGTGTTTATATACATATAAACCTGCATAAAGTGATCTACAATTGATATTACTTGATAACTTTTATGCTTGATTACACCTTGTGTACACCTAAGGCTATGTTTGATTGGAGTTATTTTGCCTGGAACTAAGAAAAACTTTTCCATTTTCCTTGTTTGTACATGTTTGATGGTCAAAATTCAAAATGGAAAACAATTTCTCAGCCGCAATGTCACGCGCTGCTTTTCCGGGAAATTGGTGAAAAGGTTTTCCTTTTGCATGCACAAGAATTGATTTTCCAGGTTTTGCTTTTTTTTTTTTGTTTGCAATGGTAATAAATTTTATAGTCAATTGTAAAAAAAAATTTCACTTTAATGGATAATTGTCATGTAAAACGAAACAAAACGAACACTAAACTTTGATAAAAAATGGTGAAAAAATAGTTTTCGAGCAAACTTTTTTTTTTTTTTACTTTTTGACAATAGTAACAAATTTCATAATCAATTGTAAAAAATTTTAAAATTGTCCTGGTGGAAAATTATACAAATCAAACACATTTAATTTCCAATTCCCTGCAAAACAATTTCTAGACAATTATTTTCTCTGGAATTCATTTTTTTCCACCNTGAGTATTTATAGAAGAAGAAAATTAGAAAAGTAGGAATTTTTTTTTATTTTTTAAATGGCGACCAAAAGGTCACTGAAAAATCAGTGATCGTTTGGTCACCAAAGTGACCGAAACGGTCACTGATAGAAAAATTCAGTGACCGTTTTGGTCACTTGTCATAATTTTTTTTAAATATACGAGCGGCTCGACGAGCCCCTCATAAATAGTGATGAGTCTAGCGGGCTAGCTCGCTAGTCGCTCGGCTCGTGCTCGCTTTTTAACGAGCCCAAGCGGTTCGTGGGCGTGAATAGTACGAGCCGAACGGGCGAGCCGACGAACTGCTCAGCTCGGTTGACACCACTAGTCAAGCTTGACTTTTTGCACAAGTGTTTCATGGAACTTTAAATATGGCTTTGGAGGTACTGCTTAACTTGATCAATTTAACTTTTTTCCATATTGCAACTTTGAATTCTAAATTTTAACTTTGTCCTTCTCCATATGGTATGACTTCTCCTCATCACATGTTTCGAACTCAATAATGTACACATCATTTTCCTCATAAGATTTAATCACAAATTCAATTTTTGAACATACGATAAAGTTGAGAGATTTCATACTATTTTATTCTTCTTTGAATGCTACTAATTCTTTTTGGCCCGTTATAAATAATTTCTCGATCTTTTCATGCACTTCTTCTTTAATTGAAGCGTTCTCGATTTCAACGTTTATATCCAAATTTTTTAGCAAAGAGAAAATGACATTTTCATGGAAAGTGTTTTCCTTTTGTTACATTTTGTTGGAAGTCCGATGGACTTGATTCCCTTAATTTATATGTCATTAATAATCCGTGGAAGTAATAATCCCACAGGTAAATCACCCACGTTTAATTTTGATAAAAGAAATAATGCAATAGGTAAGTCACCTAGGACTATTTCATCAAGTTCACATTTTGTTTTTATATCTCGTAGTTGCTGTCATATAATGAAATCTCCCACAAGCATACATTCCTCATCAATTTCTTGAGCTACCAATTATTGTTGTCTTATGATGAAGTCACATACAGGCATTTTGTTGAAATCAACCATAGCCATCTGTTATCCTACTATTTTTTGTCTTTTTATATTTTGAAAAAGAGGAAAAAAACTAAAATGGGAAAAAAAAAAAAATACAAGAATACATGTAGAAGTTCGAATTAGTGCCAAAATAAATAAAATTAAACTTAGATACAATCCCCGACAACGGCGCTAAAAACTTGTTCACGATAATATATTTAGAATTAAAATCACTGTAAGTGTATGATTCGTTAACAAGCAATAAAGTAGAATCGAGTCCAAGTATCATCCCACAAAAATTGCTTTAGTTCAATTTTAATTATCACGATCTTAACCGAAATAAGAATAATATGATGTGTTTGTTTGCGACAAAATTATATCTAAAATAAGCTCCTTATGAAATTATGAGCGCACTAACTAAACTAAATACAAATTATACTAAATGCAAATTAATGTGTTTAATAAATGAAAAATGCACTAGGATCTCGAATTTCCATGTAGTAATCATTTTTAACCTTAGTTCTACACTTTGGCAACACGATTGAATTTTGACGAATCATTGTTCCCATTTTATTTAACAATCTTTCTCGAATAATGTTAAACTTATTCTTATATATGATTCGAGTATATTTCTGATACGAACATATAAGAATGCATGATTTTTTTAATGAACACTTAAAGATTCACATAGAGTATAGCAGTATATTTCTATTCCATATTGGACCTTAGATGATTTACACCATGTCAAATCTATTTCCCTCCTTTCGAATGCATAAAATAGGTCATCACATTCACACAACTACCGTACACAACAATTGTGGAGAAAAAAATCACATAAATCATTCAATATCCAAAAATGTGTTTTCAATGTCAAGTATGTAAACTAAAGATTAAAATTTCATATTACACGGTTCATCGTTCTCCTAGCACAAAGATAACTAGTCTAGCACCTTATGAAGAAGAAAAAAAAGAAATATTGAAGAATCGATATCACCCAAATAAAGTTTGAATTGAATCTTCGAGTCTTGGAATCAATTTTCGTGTTTCTTGCCTCCGTCTGCGCTCCAAAATTTGTTAAAATGTGTCTCCCCTTCATTATGGACAACCCTAGATCTTGAAAAAGGTTCCCAACATTGTTTCCATAAGAGTTTTATTCAAATAAGAAAATCAGAGTTTTCTTCCGTAAATGTACTATGCTATAGCATAGTACAATCTCATATTATAGCATAGTTCCATGAATTTCAACCCTGAAATTCCTTGAATCATGTCATACGACCGCATGAATAACTATGCTATAGCATATTTTACGTGAAATTTCATTCTTTACGTTTTAGTTCCCAAACTCCATTTTCTCGTTTCTTAACCTCTTTGGTCACTTCTTCTTCTTCCAATATGTCATGTCTTCGCTAAATTGGTCTTCGACTCTTTCACATCTTCGTTTCTTCTTTCGGGACATCTTTTTTCTATTTGCACTTTGCACTCACGTTTTTGAACTTTGATTTTCTTCCATTTTAATCATTTTTCACTTGTTTCTCCTGAATTCCACCCTATCCATCAATGTTATTCTACAAAACATAATTTATATAGAATTAAGCCATATTCCAATATATTTGCCAACAATTATCCATATTTTTAGACCTAAATAAGTGTATAAAATGCACTTATCAGTGTGCTAGCTAGTTGGCTTCCTAATGCGTAAATTAGGTTATGTCGGCCATTCTTGACTTATATCATACTTGTAACGGGATAGACATAAATCATATTTGATGCTGTTGGGTGAGGTTTATTTCATGCCCTCATGCTTATAAGCTTGAAATAAGCTCCACCCCAAGCATTTGCTCGACTCAACACAGAAGCTTAATCCATGTCATATCATGTCAAACTAACTCTCATGAGCTAATATTTTTTATGATCTATTAGAAAATAAACAAGGTCCTTCCAAGGGCTCCAATGAAATGCCCCGAAACTTCGTGAACAATATGAGTGCGGCTCATTTATGAAGTATTGAAAATTTAGGGCTCAAAAGACATACATATGAGATCGAGACATTTCCCAGGCTTAAAGTGAAAATATTTCATTAGCCGAGAAAATTTGTTTAGAAAGTAAATAGTTATGACTAGAATCTATTATATGTAAAAATGTTGAGTTTCCTGTCATTTTCTCCTTTTAAGTTTTTTAGGGACTCAAGTAAAAATATTTAAAATATGCTTTTGGTTGATAAAATAAGAATAATGCTACTTGTATATAAGCAATTATAGAATAGTTTAAATACATATGATATATAAAAAAGAGAGTAGAGAATTTTTATTTATTTATTTATTTTTTTGAAAAAATTCTGATCTATTCATATTTCACTATATCATGTATATGTAAATCTATTATGTACATGTAGCACAACCGATAAAATAATATGTTTTATGCAACTAGTGAAAAGGGACCAGTAAATTTGAAATTGAATTATTTAATTTGTACCGAAAGTTGTCCCTACTCTCACAATGCACGCGGGCTCCATGTGAATAAAAAAATTCGAAAATGTGGTCCCCACCCCCTATTGTG